GTGCCTGAATGCAGCTGAGGGTGTGCCTGCTGGAAGCCCCATGGACAGTGAAACTGAAAACATTAAGAACACTGCTAAAACAAAACCAACCACCATCTCTGAAAAGGAGGGGAGGCAGCTCTGGCTGTGCCTGCACCACCTGTGGCCCACGATGACATGATGACATAACTACATGTGAGCACAACTACATAAAATCATAGAATGGTTTGAGTTGAAAGGGACCTTAAAGATCATCTCATTCCAACCCTCCTGCTATGGGTCAGGACACCTCTCACTAGACCAGGTTGCTCCAAGCCCCATCCAACCTGACCTTGAACACTGCCAGAGTTGGGGTGTACACAGCTTCTCTGAGCAACCTGTTCCACTGCCTCACCATCCCCACAGTAAAGAATTTTTTCCTAACATCTAATCTAAACCGGCCCTCTTTCAGTTTGAAGCTGTTCCCCCTCATCCTGTCACCACAGTTCCTGACGAGAGTCCCTCCCCAGCTTCCTTGTAGGCCTCCTTCAGATACTGGAAGTTGCTATGAAGTGTCCACACAACCTTCTCTTCTCCAGGTTGAACATCCCCAGCTTTCTCAGCCCGTCTTCATAAGTAAAGTGCTCTAGTTCCCTTATCAACTTAATGGACCTCTTCTGGACTTGCTCTAAGAGTTCCATGTCCCCACTCTTGCAGTGAACCAGCACTACAGGGAGCTTCACAGGAGCTGGTCACCTCATGCCAAACAGGTAGGGGCAATACTTACATCTCTGGCATCACCCACCCTGCTCCTGAACCAACCTGCACATTTTATCTCACACCACCTGCCATGCTCCCACCCTTCAAGACTGCCCAGCAGGTAACAGGGCTGCTCCTTGTCCTCTTGGCCGGGACTTGGGAAATGGGACTCTCAGCAGCTCCACACTCATCCCAGGAGGCTGTGTCAGCCTTGCTCCATCTCCTGCATCTTGCTGGGCTATTAGTAATGCACCCCAGCCACATCGCAGCATACCTGAAGGGCTTGTGGTTCTGGCAGAGGTGAGGCAGGAGCAGAGATGCCAAGAACCTGGTCTGGCTGCAGTGGTGGGACAAGCAGGCCCTTATCAGAGCAGGCCTGGGACTGGCGTTGGACAAAGCGGTGCCCGTGACCTGTGGCACCAGTTGCAGGAGTGCAGGTGTCCTGGTTTTGTCTGTGAAAGAGTTTGTTTTCTCCCTAGCTGCCGTTTCAGTGCTGTGTTTTGGATTCAGCATGGGAATAAAGTTGATAACACAGAGATGTTTCAGTTATTGCTCACTAGTTGCTGTCTGTGGTTAAAGTGTGACAGCAGGGCAGCAAGAGCCTTCACCGTGGTTCATCTCTGCCCTTTGGTTTGCTGTTGTTGCAGGGAGGAACTCAGAAGCAGCACAGCAATGTGTCGGGAAAGGCCGGTGAGGGCATGCATAGCTCAGCACAGTGCCTGCCAGAGACCCTACAGGACACACCCATGTGCACAGTCTACCCCAGAGACCTTGTCCTGACAAACCAGCATCCTCATTCTTGCCCTGGCTTCCTTACCCATCCCATGGTTGAAAAAAGGGAAAGCAATGCTGAAGAACTATTGCCCTGTGAGCATCAAGCTTCTGTTCCAGAAGGGCACATCCCACCCCAGCCACAGCAGCATGGGTGAGAGAGATGCTCCTAGTCCCTTCTGTTCTCCTGCCCACAGGCAGAGACTGTGGAGCCCTGCTTATTCTCCCAGATGCCTGAGCAAGAGGTGGGTGCTGCAAGGGGCTCCCCACCTTTGAGCCAGTGGTCACTCAGGCTACACCTCTCTGAGTAACACCTCAGCCTGACCATTGTCCTGTAATCATCCACACCACACAGTTTTGTTCCCTTACACTGCTTTAGCCTGTGCCAATGGGGCAGGTTCAAAGGAGGCCATGGGTCAGCGTTATTCCCACATGGAAACATGGACATGGCCACCTCCAGGCAGAGAATTTAGCCTGTCCTCCTGAGACTGCTGTCCTCCCCTTCCTCTATCTCTCTCTGTGCTGGGGTACAGGGGAGCACTATGACCTTGCTGGGCTCTGGATGCCCATGGGAGCCCTTTGCCTGGAGATCACCATTGCCATACCCACATATGGGCAGTGATGCTCTGTGCAAGTGTTGGAGGAGCTGGAAAGTTCTCTGTGCACCAGAAAACTGGGAGCTTCCTGTGACTGGAGGCACTTCCTAGCTCTTTCCCATATCCTTGTGCCCTATCCAGACCCTGTCCAGGCAGGGCAGGCTGAGGCAGCTCAGGCTGGAGTACGGCCCAGCGCTGGGAGGGAAGGCAGATGCACTGCATTTGCTGCGGAAGTCGCCGTCGTGCCGTTGCTTGCAGCCAACTCAATCACAGCTCTTATTGCTTCCCCCAGCTGTTTGAAAATCTCATTGGGTTCAGTGAGCTCCATGAGCAGGGCTGCCAACCTTCCTCATCTCCTGTCTTTTCTCATGACTCGAGGTGCCCTGACTGTCAAGGAAGTGCATCAGCCCGTTCCATGGGGCCCGGGACAAAAAACCTTCCCACACCCCAATATACAGGGATGGGTCTGGCACAGGCAAGTGTGCTGGGATCTTCCACAGGCACAAAGGCAAGGGAAGGAGGTATGTTGTTCTAAGCAAGGACATCTCTACAGCACAACAGAGCGAGGTAGCAGGGCTGTCTACACACAGCAGCCTTGTACCCCACAGTGGGTCAAAAATGAGGAAGGAGAGTGGCTGTGTTAGTGAGGCTGATGGTCCCAGGCCAGCAGCAGCACAAGTAAAGGACATTTCAGCCAGGACAAGTGGTGGCAGGTGAGATATCTGCTGGCTCTAGCACAAGGCAGAGCTGAAACAAATGGGGCAGGGCTTTGATCCTGCTGTGTCCTGCATGCTGGAGCCTGGATCCATTAATACCTTTGATTACCATGACCTAATTTCTGTCCACCTGTGTCATGGGTGGCTGGTCACCCCACCCTGCGGAGCCCTTGTTCTACAGTGGCTGATTGCACCAGCGCTGGACTAACTCGTCTCTGGAGGGTAATTACAGCCAAGAGACACCCGCTGCTGCAGGCTGTGGGTGAGCCAAGTGTGTCACCATCAGCACGGCACCTGGCATGTAAGTCACACCCTGACACATGGCGAGCCTTTCCCTATGGGTCATTCAGGAACATCTGTGTGGGTGCCCTGCAGCCCGGACTCTCACGAAGAAGGACCATCACTGGCATTGTTGGTTTTTCTGCTGGCCACGGGGCATAGGGTTCCCCATAGGAAGTTGTTGCATGAGGCAGGACCTTCCTTTTTCCTGCGGGTCAGCTGTTACACTGCTGTAGGTCTGCTTGAGATCTTCCCCTTGAATTGATCTTGGGCTGGAACACACGTGACTTTATGCACATGTTTATACAACAAAGGGCAGCTGCTCTCCAGACTCCAGGCACTGTGCCATCCACACCACTCACACTGACTTACCAGGGCACAGTGGCCCCCTCCTTCCTTCTGCCCCACCTGCCCAGCCTGTGTGGGGAGCAGAATCATGCCACGGCAAGCCTTGGTCAGGGGCTGAAGACTGGGGAAGGCAGCAGGCCCCTGGGGGTTTGCAGGGCCACACATTGAGAAGAGGAGTGAGCAGGGGCCCAGCCCAGGCCTTGGCTTTTCAGTGTCCCGTGTGTGCAGGAAGCTGCTTTGGGGAGGATAGTGCTCTGCTGATAGCAACTGCATGGCCAGGACACGGAGAGGCATCCTGGAATGGGTCAGGCAGGAGCTGTGCCAGCTCAGGGTCTCCGTGGCAGCAATGATGTCTTCTCCAATGCACTATTGGTGCAGCACCAGGCAGGATGATGGGGCTGTGTAGCCCCCAGAAGACGAGATAACACCACCAGCTGTGCCCCTTTTCCCCCTCTACCAGGCCACTGGCTCCTTTTCAGTGGCGAAACCACTGCTTGGCTTTTTCTTCTCTAGTCATCTGGTTCCTTCCAGGGCCAGTATATTTTGGTGACTTCTCTGTTCCGAGCTACCCTGAGTGGCATAGGTGGTTCCTCAGGATTTGCTTTTCTCTGGAAGGTGTACAGGCTGAGCACTGTAAAGGGGAAATGCCAAGCTCTTTATTTTAAGACCCATGTGCGGAAGGAGAGACTCATGGCTCCATCAAACACCTGCACTCCATCAGCTGCCTGTGAAAGAGAACTCTGACAAGTGGGGTCAGCACATGGGATTGGGTGGAGCATTCAAATGGCAGCAATGCAGAGAGGCTTGAATAGTGAAGGAGGAACAGAGTGAAGGTTTTGTCAAGAAGATAGAGAGCTGCTCCACTCAGTGGGAGAGACCACTGGCACAATATGCCACCCCAGAGCAGATGGTGGGATGTGGGTATAAAGCACGGGAACAGAAAGAGCAGGTCAGGAGCTCCCAGCTTGCTGCAAAGAGTCTTCAGGTATCAGGATCTGGGGTAAAGTTATTCTGACTTGAAATACTGCTCCAAGTCTTAAAATTCCCAGCTCCTGGGTTTAGCCACGTCCCCTGTCCAAGAACCAGAGCAGGATGCCCTGAGGATGGCCCTGGGGGTGCAAACAGGAATGGCTGGATGAGTTGTGGAATTGCTTGGATGTCAGAGCTGGAAACCCCATTTCTGAGCACATCTCCCTCAAACCAAAAGGCAGCATCCTGAGCTCCCACTAAACTTACTCCACCCTGTTCCCAGCTGTGAGCTGCTTATGTCCAATTCTGTGTGCTAAAAATACCCTTCTGGGCAGACAGCAAGTGTGCGGCCAAGCAGGAGAGGCTGGCAGTCCAGCCATGAAGGGGAGTCGGGGTGTATTTGGGGTTGGTGTGGGCTGCAGCACAAGGCCAGGTGTGCCTGGGTGGACTGGGTGAGGGCAGTGGACTGGCAGTTTTTGCAGAGGGATGTGCATCAAAGCAGCAGTGCCAGGACAGAGCCTTGCTTGCCTTGGGCCTGCGCGTGTGTGGAGAAGGCCATGTAGGGGGGGAATGAGCAGATGGACTCAGAGAGGTGGGGAGACACTCACTGCAGAGAACAGGCAGAAGGTCCTGCTCCCTCCTCAGGGTTGATGGAGTTGGGAAGGTTGCTGGAGGGTGAGGAAGAGCCCACAGCAAGGTTTGAGGCTGGGCTCTAGCTGGGATCCTGTGGGCGTTTTCCAGTTCTCCCTGGCAGAAGAGCTTCTACATTCTGGCAGCTCAGGCTGAAGCCCTGAATAAAGCAGACTCTGCATCCTGGAGAGAAAGCAGCAGCATGTGGGGAACCAGTCCCCCAGATCACATGGGGTCATGTACTGGTGCTGTGCAGTGATCAGACCCCTGCCTAGCCTTCCATCTGACTGGGTTACCCTCCTCAGGCCTGTCCTGACCCACCACCTGCAGGATGACATCCTAGCCTGGCCTCAGCCCACCACATCTGATGAGCTATGGATACATCCCGAACTGACCTCCTCTGGGGACAGATATGGGGTAGGGGTGAAGATAAGACCCAAATATACTTCTGTTATTTTTATTCTGACACAGGAATAGACTTTACTGTAGGGGCACACAGTGACTATGTTAGGAGTTTCCACAAAGCCTGATCCTCAAAAGCCACAGCTGCTTCTCCTTTACTTGTGGTTTTGTGGATGGTTTTGAGCCCTCAGTGTTCTTCTCTATCAGAAGTAAAACTGATTGTAAATTGCAGGTGGTTTGTGTTTTTCTCCCTTCAGTCCAAAAGTCTGAGTCCTTTTAGTCCTGATCGAATGGACCTTCAGGAAACAGCCCTTCAATCACATTTACAGTCATCAAGCAGCCCCATGAGGGAAGGAGTGTGGCTGGCAAAAAGGTACACATTTGCTGCCTGCTGTAGCAGGATACCTGTATTAGAAAGCATCTGTGATGTGTTGAGATCAGTCTGTCAGACTCAGTCCTGCTGCGTGGGCTGGAGTGGTGTACACAGTGTGCGCAGCCCACACGTGATGTGCTCTTGAGAGCTCAGTGAGTGGTCTCATGGATCACCTCTCGTTGATCATGCCATGCCGAGTTTGGATTCATGAGCTGTTGTGTGCCTTGATAATCCCTTGGAAAGCTTCTCTCATTTGAACTCTGCTGTGTGATTCTCAGTCAGGCATCACCAGCTGAACTAGCAGATCCAAAGTTAGACTGTGAAGAGCGAGGCACAGGGCTGAGTGTGCTGGCTTTCAGTATTTCTTCAGCATTTTTCAAGTGGATGCTGTACTCCAAGACAATAAATCGCATAACGTGGTAACTTTCTTAGGAGGAAGAGGCCAAACACATATTGCCAGGTCTCAGTGCATTTCAGGACAGGGGAAAAGAAATAATCACATAAGCTGCAATAGGAAGCCTGCTGTGCCACATGTGCATTTTTGAAGCTTGGCTGTTTAATTTCACTGGTTCTGCTTCTTTATATGCCAAAGAGGGGCAGTGAGAGTGTCTATGTCTAACTCTGGGATTTTATAGTGATTGCTGGCTGTGGCCCTTCTTCTGGGTGCTTGCACCATTGCTGAGTGTACAGGACCAAGAAAAGCCTGGTTCCCAAAGCACAGGGATCTGACAAGGAAACAGGGAGGGCATGACTTAGTGCTGCTGCTTTTCTTGCTGCAAGCTTGCTAGAAGACTTTACCCCATTAATCTCACTGTATGTGGCACAGCTGGACTTGAAGTACTGATGTTCCCGAATGGATCTTAGGAGAGATCTAGTTTACAGAACCCCTCAGTTGCTGCTTTACTGCAGTAATACAAAGAGATACACCAAGCACTGTCCTAAGGATGGTGGTTCCCTGGAAAGGATCTGCCCTGGAGCTCTGGGCCAACCAGTCCCAGCTTGGTAGTGAAAAGCACCCTGGGTGACATCACCCAGAACACTGAGAGTGTTGGACCATGAGGCGACTGTGCTCCTCTGTCCAGAGAAACACAGAGAGAGAGAGGCTGTGTGAGAAAGAGGAGCTGCCCAGGAGAGCTGCCAGAGCACAGGGAGTCAGGACTCATGGAAGCATGAGGCCATGTAACAGTGTGTGAGCTGGAAAGGCGCCCAGAGAAGATCTTGTGGTGACATCTGCAGCGACAGGAGACTGGGGGAGCGTGAACAACCAACCTTGGGGTTACACCAAAATGGAGAGCACTCAGACAATTTTCTCCTATACTCAAAGCCCCTGCCTGATCTCGGCTGTGATAGGAACAAGACTTTTCCATCCAGCTCCAGAAGACCCTCTTACTCCCAGCACTGTGTGCACTATCCATTCTGAGACATTTCACATCCTACAAGACACTGACAAAGTGTAGGTCAGAGTAGGGTAGAAGGAAAGGTTTGGAGGAGAAGAGGAATAAAAACACTTCTGGGTTCAGGAGCTTGTCAGATCTGGAAGGTCTACTGGTGGGGTTCAACAGCAAGAATGTTGCAGCTGCATCGGTTCAAGGTAATAAGAAGAGGGATTTTTGGAAGTATTTAACAGATATGTAGATGTGGCACTTAAGAATACATTTTAGTGGTGAGCTTAACGTGCTGGGTTAATGGTTGGACTCGATGAGTCCAAAAGTCCAAAAAGTCTTTAACCTAAATGATTCTATGATTTCAAGGCAAAATTGATGCATGATGAGAGCACCTTGGTGTGACCTTAGGCACATGAGTCATGAGGGTGATCCTTAACATTCTCCACTGGATCTGGAGGGAGAGAGAAGAGAGATAGACACGAGAAGGTTTTGGAGGTGCTCATGGGAGCAGGGCTATGGGAGTCTGAGGTAGCCAGCAAAAACTCTGGACCAAGGCGCCCAGGAGACCCCATCCCACTGTCTGTGGGAAGGTGAGTGAGAAGCAGCCCTGTGGCTGCGACGTTCTCTTTCCAAAGAGGAAGCTCCTTGCACCACATGTGATTTCCCTTCGTGTCTGTTTCATTTCTGTGTGAGCACCTCTCCTGCGCTGGCTTACAGAGATTACCTTTCCTGAGTGCCTCAGACTGAGTCCTGCCTGGGGACTTTGTGCCAGCATGGCCCTGCAAGGGCTGGCTCTGGCATTTCTCCTGGTTCTTGCTCCTCTGCTGCTTGCACGGGGACAGATGGACTACGATCATATGGATCCAACAGTACATAAGGAAGCAGGTAAGAGCTGATTGTGCCCCTCTCTTACAGAAGTGGTTCTGCTGCTCCTCTACCTGCACATTTGCTACGCAGCTTTACCCTGTTCAGCCCACAGAGACTGTGTTAGGAGGGCTGAAGCTGGCATCTACGTCAGAGACACTCGGGCATCCTTTGTGCTGTGGTGGGGTGAAGCTCTGTTTGGGATGGAGGGCAGCAAACCTCAGTGTGCTGGGAAAGCTTCCATGACCACGGAAGCTGCAGCGTCCCTCCGGGAAGTGTCCCCGGGAGCAGGAGGTGGCTGGTTCTTCTTATGCAGCAGACAGATGAATCTGAAGTAATCAGAGCAGTGGTGGCCTTTCTGGGCAATCTGAGCAGCATCCCTGTCACAGAGGAAGGTGGTGGTGTTCATCAAAGATGTGGGGAGCTGTAACATGATTCTCTGTGTTAGCTGGGATGCCTGCTCTCTTCCATAGTCCCTGGGGTTGAGGGAACTGTGGTTTGATGGGATTGTTCAGATTATGAGGCTTGTTCTGCTCTTTCTCCATGCCAGAAGGGCTCAGGGCACCTCCTGGGTCTCTGCTGGGCTCTTCCTACAAAGAATGTGAGCTTTCCTACAGTGACTATGTGCTGTGGCCTGGGGTTGCCAGTACCTGTTGAGATCCCCAAGGGGTACAGCAGGAGCAACTGTTCTTTGCACTGGGGCTGGGGGATCTGAGCTGTGAGTCATTCTCTCCACAGGGAGATGGAAGCAGAAGTGGCTTGCCAAGTCATTGGGTCATGAGTCATGCTGCCCATCACTGGTGGCTGGAGGGATGCTGCCATTCCAGCAGTGGGCATCTCTCAGCTATCCAGGGCAGGTTGGAGCCAGTTCCCCTCGAGTCAGCAGCAGCTTCTGCCCCCCTCTCCCATTTCCTGCAGCCCATCTCTGAGAATAACTCAATAATCACAGCTCTCCTTTCTTGACCTGAGGAGTCCCAGCTGGAGGAGGCTGTGATGGGCTTGGTAGAAGCATTAGGTCTGAGCAGCTGGGGGAGATTTCTTGGATCTATGTCTGCAGAAGAGGTGTGAGGCATCAAACTGAGGTTCTGGCCTCCTCCTCTACTGTGCACTCGCTTCTGGTACTGCAGCACTGGAGGAGGGCACTGAAACGCAGATTATGGCTACCCAGCAAAGCTTGCCTCCACCTGCCCTGACGGGAAAACCCTGGTGCAAATCCAAGTCCCCACAAGGGCTTTTGCTGCAGCTGGTGCTCTGCAAGTGTCATCAAGGAACCACGTCTGCCATAGAAATGTGCTCTTTTCACTTTGTGTCCTGTGTCCTTGCTCTTCAGCAATGGCCATGCGCATCTGTATGATCCACATGTATTTTCTAGGCCAGACCTAGACAGTGGCCATTGCTTGCTGACAGTGCCTATGGCCTGGTTTTGTTGACCTTCCTCTCCCCACTGAGGTCTGCATGAGCCAGCCATTGCTCTCCTTTGGTACATCCCCTCCTGTGCCTTGGCCTTGCTAGGTGTACTCTCACTGGCTCTTCTGCTTGAGGACTACCTGCTTGTCACTGTGTCCTCTTGCACTGCATGTCATTGTCAGCCTCCTGACTGAGCCAGGCTGTACTCTTACTACATTCTTCATCCTCCTGTGTAAGGGTGTTTCTGCCCAGCCTTTCAGGTTGTGAAGCATCGTGGGGACACCCAGCCCTCAGAATTTGTTTTCTGACAAGTACGTGTAAGTAAAAACATTCTTCCCCACAGGTAGAAATCTGCTCTTTGGTGTGTGGTTTGGTTTCGCACTACAGAGGGATTTCTTTCCTGGTGTCCCTGGTAAAACACTTGGTGCTGGACAGGCAGCCTGGACTCTGCTGGGGTGGGAAGGATCATAGAATGGTTTGTGTTGGAAAAGACCTTAAAGATCATCTCATTCCAACCCCTCTGCCATGGGCAGGGACACCTTCCACTAGACCAGGTTGCTCAGAGCCCCATCCAACCTGGCCTTCAACACTGCCAGGGATGGGACATCCACAGCTTTTCTGGGCAACCTGTTCCAGAGCCTCACCACCCTCAGAGTAAATAATTGCTTCCTAATATCTAATCTAAATCCCCAATCTTTTAGTTTAAAACTATTCCTCCTTGTCCTATTGCTATCTTTCCATGTACAAAGTCTCTCTTCCTCTTTTTCGTAAGCCCCCCTTAGGTATTGGGAGGCCACAGTGAGGTCTCCCTGCATCCTTTCCTTCTCCAGGATGAACAACCCCCACTCTCTCAGCCTGACTTTACAGTGCTCCAGCCCTGTGATCATCTTTGTGGCCTCCTCTGGAGTCGCTCTTACAGGTCCACACCCTTCTTAGGTTGGGGTCCTCAGGGCAGGATGCAGAGAACAGAGTGGAGAGGAAGAATACCCTCCCTCATCTTTCTGTCCATGCTGCTTTGGACTCAATTGGTTTCTGGGCCATGAGTGCACATGGCCAGGTCGTGTCCAGCCTCTCATCCATCAGCACTCCCAAGCCCCTCTCAGCAGGGCTGCTCTCAATGAGTTCCTCTCCTAGTCTGCACTCGTGTCTGGGACTGACCCAAAAGGAGCCTGGATGTCACCTTGGGGCAGGAGTGCGAGGATGTGTGTTACTTCATGGGGGTTTAATGACAGCAGGGGGGAAGGTGTGTGATGGGGATGCCTAATGAGGCCAAGACCAAGTCAAGGGCTTCAGGTCTCTCAAGTGTTTTGTCTGTCACAGTGAAATGTGTGATCTGAGGGCACTGGGAGAGATTCAGCTGTGGGGGAAGAAGTTTCATGTCTGCACCATGCGTGTGATGTCTAAAAGGATGGGGCTGGTGACCACGGTCCTTTGTGGTGGAGAGCTGGAAGCAGGGTAGAGATGATGGCATGAAAACCTGCTGCCAGATAAGGGAAGTGGTGATGCCTCTGTTCTGGTGTAAAGTAGTGCAGGCCCATGAGTGCTGGCTGGCAGGAAGTGGGGAGCTGTAGAGACACATGTAGCTGAAGAGAGGTGTTTCATCCTCCTTCAGAGAAGGCCACCTCCATCCCTGATGCCTCCTCACAGACTCGTTTTGCATCAAGTGAGCAAGTCTAGGTGACGTGTCTACCAGGGCAGCACAAGGCAGACTCATTTTGGGTGAAGGGCAGAGTCAAGGCCAAGTGCATGGAGCAGGGTGAGCTTTGTGGCCAGTGGTGTGAACATAGGTGGTCTGAGGGTACACTGAGTGTGTTGTCCTGAAACCTTCTTTCCTCCAGTGTGGAAAAAACTGATCCACACACAGAGTCAAGGTATTTGATTTATTTACAGTTCTGCAGAGAAAGGTGTGCTAAGCGGCAAGTCCACACAGCCAGCACCCCGAGGCACACAAAAGCAGGTAACACAGTTACAATCTTAGGCTATTAGCATATCTTACTTAAGTCACTACTTGGCTAAATTGCTATGGCTCATCCTTTCCTCTCTTCAGTGTAAAGGCATAGTGTCCCAATAAATCATGGAGCATGCTTGGTGAGTGGTGGTATTTTTGAGGCCAGGAGGTATATGATCTTAGGATGTGGATTTGTTACCATTATAAAGAGCAAAATTTCATCACTAGGGCAAGTTCTCACAACAAAACTCTTTGTTAGCTCATCATTAAACATCCTACATAAGAAGGGTGTTATATTTTTTTGTTCTCCCCCTTCAAGCACATAGACAATTTATTTTCTGTTTTCTTCATTCCTGTGTTTATTGCTTACATTGCTGAACTGCTTTGTTCTTTCTCTTGCTACCTTGAAAGTCTACACCTGCTATTCACCATTGCTGCTGGCTGCCATCTCATGGGACCAAGTCAGGGGAGTCTGCAGTGGCAGCAGAGACCCACTGGGTCTGGTGCACTCTCACAGCCCCTGGATTAGGGGGAGAAAGCACAGGAGAGAGCAGCATCCACCAGGCTGCTGGATCCCTCTGGCTGGGGTCCCTCCACAGCACAGGAGTGGGCAGGAGGGCCTGTGGATAACCCTCCTGCACTGCACCTGAGAGTGCAAGGAGGGATAATGCACCTGGGCTCTGGGGCCTCATCCTGGGAGGTGCCATCTCTGCCACCCCTCTGAAGGGAGGGGGACCAGCAGCCCTCTGGACAGGACCCCCTCACCCCTGAGGTTGCTGCCGGTGACCCTCAGGGCTCTCCCTCTTCGCCTTTGCACACAGGAAGATGTAAAGCTCCCTCCGACTGGGACCCCAAGCTGCAGTTTACCCCAAACCAGAGGAGTTACGCCTTGAACCAACTGGTGCAGCTGAGCTGTGCTGGGAAGTTTGTGCCATCAGTCCCCCAGATCAGATGCATTTCCAGCGGGACCCAGACCCTGTGGAATGAGACTGCCACCTGCAAGGGTAAGCAGAGCCCTGCATCACCCTGACCTGGGGTCCTGACCTGCCATCAGACCCTTTGTGACATGGTCATGCTTCAGCCCCCACTGGGCGACAGACAGTCTGGGAACAGGAGACCTGGATACTTTGGCTTTCCTCTGTGTCCTGGGGCTCTTTTTGTCCCAACACCCTGCTGTGAGTGCCTGCTGGGATCTGTGCTCCTTGGGAGGGGTTCAAAGGCAGGAACCCTTCCTGGCCAGCGTTTCCTGCCTCTACATGGAGAGCTGCACCTATGAAGCTGGAGGAGGAGGAATAGCTGCAGATGTTCAGCTTGAGGCTTTTGCACTTTACATTGCTTGTTTTCCTGGGAAGCTTCTCTGGGGTTTGGGTTATCTTTGGTGAGTTGTCCTTGGTGTGGAATGTTATCACTGCTTCATGGCTCGCCTCAGCAGGACGGACCCAAGAGATTGTAGGCTCAAACACCCCATGTGTGGGTGGAATCCAAGGAAGGCTTGAGAGTCCTGGAGATGTGGTGAGAGTAAACCCTGTGCCCTTGAACAGTGCCTGGGAAGATGGTGGGAGTAAAGGGATTTTTGTGTGTGTCAGTGTGAACGGTCAGAGTGATAAGGAAGAGAGAGCTGTCCCAAGCCTCATTTCATCACTTCCCAGAAATACTCCTCACTCAGTTTTTCCTCTGACAGAAATATGCCAAAGGCCTGCTTGGTGGGACCCCAGACTCCAGATGGCACCAGCCCGTGAGAGTTATACAAAGAATGAAGTAGTGACTCTGAGCTGCAACAATGGTTCCCAGCCATCTTTCACTCACATCAAATGTGCAGAGAGGGTTCAGCCATGGAATTATTCTAGATCTCTAAATGCAGATGTGTGGCTGGGGAGGAAAAGCAGTGATGTCTGGATTCACATTGAGGGGAACATAGAGTGCATTGGTAAGCAGGGCGTCAGGAGGTGCTTCTTACAAAGCTCTGTGGTCAAATCCTGCCCCTTTCATCCATCTCTGAGCTTCCACCATCACCACTGAGGCCAGAGATGCACTTCTGATGCTTTGTTGGGGACGGTGGGATCTCAGTACTTTTGATACCTGAGGTAATTCCTCCAGTGAATTCTGGCACATCCTTGTCCACCACATGCCTGGATGGGTCCCAGCCCAGGCTGACACTCACCCACAAGGAGAGACTCATCCCAAAAAGCCTTGCCAAGGGGTCGCATCCTAGCAGATGGAGGTGTCACTTTTCCTCTCCTCCTCACGTGCTGGTCCCCCCTCTCAACCCCTGCTGCATGCTGTCTTTGCAGACCCAGCTTTGGGGCTCAGGCTTTATGCCTTCTCAGGAGGAGTCAGGGTTTTGTCATCCTCCCTGAGGGACAAACAGGGCACCATGGCTAAATGCTGGTGCATCAGTCTCTGGGCAGGCTTTGTACACAGCATGAACCCCTTGTGGGTGCCCCTGGTCCCTGGCTCCAGCTCCTCTTGGCCTTTCCCAGGGGTCTGGGGGAAGAAGTGTGGGATCCTTCTCATTCTCATTCCCTTTCCAAGAATGTGGTGTGGAAGGGCTGCTCTATGTAGTGTCCTGGAGCTCTCTCCTTTGCCCTGCTGGGTCAGGGCAGGGGATGCCCTGCTCCAACCCCTGGCATGCCTGGTGGAGCCACCCTCAGCCCTGCTAACATCTTCCCATCTTGTTGGTGCAGAGAAATGCCAGAAGCCTCAGTGGGACCCCAGGTTTATCTTTGACCAAGAACAGGAGACCTTCAACCCAAATGAAGTGGTGAATGTGAGATGTCCTGAGGGGCACAGGCCTCCACCCATGGAGATCAAGTGTGTGAAGCTGAAGCCAAGGAAAGGTTCCACGGTTGGTCGCAGTGGCTGGATAGTGAGGAATGGCACAGGCAGCTGGCACCCTATGGAGGAGAGCTTGACCTGTGTGGGTAAGTAAGTGAGCCTGCCACTCTCCCAGTGCTCTCCCCAGGCATGGAGAGCAGGGCTGCATGTGTGCCACAGCATCAGTGCCCCATGCTCGGGATGGTCAGGGTGTGGCATGGGCGTTGACTCCAGAGGAAATTGCTGGATGCATCCCAGGTTTGTGTCCACACTGCTGGCAGCTGGGGCACCCTGCACAGTGCTGAAGGGGACAAATCCTCACCACTGGATATAAAGCACCAGACATCCTGCCCAGGCCGGCCAGAGGGGTCTGCCTGGAGAAGGACACGATAGCCCAGGAGCAGAAGGGCAGGGCCCTTCTCTGGCTGCTGAATTTGTTGGCTAAGTCATTGCTGGTAGGAAATGGACCAGTCACCAGATCAGTGGCTAGCCCCAGGGTGGTGGCAACTGCAGGGTGGGTACAAGTGCTTGTTCTTACCATCCCACAGTCACTGCAGCACCTAGAGCACCCCTGGGGATGGTCCAGGGCCAGAGGAAGGTGCAGGCAGTGCCTGAATGTAGTCTGGGAGAAGGCAAAATGTCCATGTCCACTCTGTGCTGGGACAGGCTAGTGAGGGAACAGTGGGGGTGATGGAGTTTGGTGTCAAAGCTTGGAGGGAAAGGGAAGAGAGTGACCCTCTGGCAATATCCCTTCACAGATGTCCTCCAGGTTGTTCCTGAGACCCTGAAGATTACCAGCACCAGCATCAAACTGAATTGGACCTGCATGCTCCCTGACACCTGCCAGAATATTCGGGCCAGGTGCCGGCTGGAGGGGCATTCTTCTCCTCCCTGTGAGGCTGAGGAGGTGAAGGGAGAGGAGATGTTACAAGGTCAAGAGGGAACTTTCACATGCCCGCCTTTGCAGCCCTTCACTGTTTATAGTGTCACTATCTCCCAGCTGCCCAGCACAATCCTGTACACACGGTTCCTCAGGACAAAGGAATCAGGTATGTTTACATGAAATGGAAAGATGCCCTTCACCCTGAAACTCATCCAGACATCCTCTCTGTCCTGTCAGCTCTTGGGACTGGAGCTGCTTGGAACCTGTGGGGGTGGGGGGAAGGGGCTGTGCAGGGCCCTGCAGCAGGGTGCATGTCCTCCTCAGTTTTCCCCTCATCACCACACCATTGCTGCTGCAGCAGCACATGCAGCCTTTGTGGGGGACAAATCCTTGCCAGCCCCATGCATGATCCTGTCCTCCTGTGCTTCCAGTGCCAGACGAACCAGAGAATCTGCGGCTGGATCCCACCTTGGGATCTCTTGGGTGGAAGGCACTGCCCTCCTGCAAAGGGGAGATCATTGGATACCAGGTACCGGGGGACCACAGAGTGCCCAGAGATTCCCTTAGCTTGCCAGGCATCTCCCCACCTGGAGCTCTGTGCAGGCAGCCTGAGGAGAGGTGTGAGCCCTCCTTGACAAGGCCTATAGGCTGTACACTGCTGATGTTTCTGGTGGGGCCAGGTCCCACCAACAGCAGGAGCCCCTCTCCACAGCTCCCGCCCAGTGCAGGAGTGGGATGTTGGTGCTACTCCCTACCAGCTCACTGTCCTTCCTCCAGCTGAACATCACCACCATGAGAGCAGACGACGACAGCTTCCTTGAATTCAAGCAGGTGTTGGTGAACCAGTCGGTGACTGAGTACACCCCCCCCCAGACAGCTGGAAGAAAATACGTGGTGACTGTGCAGGGCCTCACAACAGCTGGTGCTGGGGCTGCATCAATGCTGGAATTTCAAGTCTTGGGTAATGGTTCTTCTGCCCTGGGTCTGGTTGGGGTGGCCTCCCTGGGAGTGAGTGCTGAGTCTGGAGCAGCTTCCAGACCCACATGTGCACCCCCCTCATTCCCACCAAGACAGAGGCAGGGAGAGTGCGAGCACCCTCCCTCAGCTCAGCAGTGGGTGTGAGGCTGGGTGAGTCCTGCTTTGCAAGGTCCCCAGAGAAGCTGCATGGCTTCAGCTCCTGTTTGGGCCTTTGATAGGAGACTTGCCCCCTGCATTTGGGTGCATGGGCAGCTCAAGGTCAGAGAGCACTAGGGCTGCAGAGCCGGGGTCTGTGAGTCCTCCTCCTGTGTGCAGGATGGTTGAGTAGGCTGCCAGACCCTCCAGCTGGGGACATGGGGCAAGTCCCTGTGCTCCAGAGCCTCCATCTGCCCTGCCCAAGCAGACATGGTGACAGGGGAAGACTATGCCTTGCTGCCTGTCCCTGCAGCAGCCAGGGCAGTAGAGCATGGACACACATTTCTACACATGTGCAGACACCCAGTGCCAAAGTTGGGGCCTTTGCTGGCGCATGGCCCAGGCTGTGGCACCCACTCCTGTCGCTGCTTTAGTTGCAGGGCAGCCTCTGGGCCCATGGCCTGGGTCAGCGGTCACGGTAGTCGTGGTGGTGCTGGTGCTGGTCCCCTTGTCTGCAGGGATCCTGTGGTTTGTGCTGTCCAGGTGAGTTGGCAGGAGACTTGGAGTCTTGACTCTGCTTCAGGCCATGCTCTGCCATGGGCTGGGAGGGGATGGAGAGAGGGTCTCCAGCTGCTCATACCCTTCTCTGGGTGCAGAGGATGCAGATGGCTGTTTCTACCATATTTTGCCTCTAGGGCTCCTAGCAGGGGTTCATAAGTGTCTTCCCCAGGACTGGGACAAGGACCATGTGTACTAAGAGACCCTTTCCCCTTGTTGCTGTTGCTGCCACCACTGCTGTCCCCTGGGGTGGATGGGCAATGCCTGCCAACTCTGGAAAAAACCAGAGGGAGGGTGTGCAGAACCCTCCAAGCCTCTGCTGCTGGGTTCAGCAGGGTTGGGCCCACATCAGCCTCTCCCCTGACTCAGGGCTGCCCTTTGCCTTTCCAGGAAAAAGAAGGTCTTGACCAGCAAAGTTGAGGAGGATGATTACACAGGTAGGACCCCATCACAGAGACGACTGTAGGGCTGGAGGTGGGAGGGGAGCAGGTCTATTTCAGGAGGGACTTTTTGGCATTCTGAGGTGGCTGCAGGCAGCCCAGCTGGCTCTGGCTGACCTGCCAGACCAGCATGTCCCACATCTGCTAATCCCAGCTGAGAGCCTGCTCCAGTACCTCTTCCAGCAGCTCCTGGCTGGGGTTCCCCTGTGGTGCCGATGAGGGTTGGGAACTGCCCCTCGTGCTCACCTTGTCTGGGGTAGGCAGCACCTCTTCCCAACCCTGCTGCCCTGATGGTGTGTGTCCCAGGGTGCCCCGGAGCCCCCAGTGATGCTGCCTGCCTCAGGCTGCCCTGCTCCTTCTCCTCAGCCCCAGAGTCCTCAGGTTGTTTCTGCCATCTTGTGCCCCCAGAGCTCCAGCCCTATGAGAACGTACATGAGGATAATTACTGCGTGATCAAGACTTTTCTGGCACAGAAAGATGCAGGTAGGAGATGGATTGCCCTGCCTGTGTTCCACACATGGCACACAGGGAGTGTGGACTGGCATCTGGGATGGTGTGCATGAGCTCCCCATGCTGCTGAGTGCACACAGCAGCCTCTGTCCTGTTGCCCTTGGTCTCCACAGGTAAATGTGGCCACGCTGGAGAGCCAGTGCCCAAGGCCCTGCCTGTCATGGAGTCTTCAGGAGACATTCAGAGCAGTGAGGGACAGAAGAAGCTGGGGCAGGCATCAGTGATGGTAGCCCTTCCCTTCTTGCAGCTTGCTCCTCCACCGCTGCAGGCAGAACCATGAAGCTTGTCATGGGTTATTGCTCCCTCTCAAATTTTCTCCCTCATCAGGCTCCAGAATCCTCTGTCACAGCACAGGAGCAGCTCAAGGCCTGGGATGACCTGCTTGCACCAAAGAGGATGTGGTCTGGTAGTTCCCCAGTGCTCTGGCAGAGCCACCTCACCAGCATCCTGGTGCCTGCAACTGTCCCCTGAGACTGGATCCCAACCCCTCTTTCCCCACTCTATATCCCTATATCCATCTAGATCCTGTCCTCTGCTTGAGTTTGGCCCAACTGTGTTGCCCTGGAAGCTGTGCTGCTGTATCTGAACAACCAATAATAAACTGTTTTATTTCACAGGGGCTTTCTGGCCCGCGACAGCTCCCACCTTGTCGTGGTTCCTCCTTGTCTTGTGTGTGAAAATCCTGACCCCATGAATCTTCACAGAGGAGCTTGGAGTAGGCTTTTCCAGCCTTCAGCAGCCCTGAGAAAGCACACCTGAAGAGCTGCACGCTCTCAGTTCAATGCTTTGGGTTGCTGCTTTCCCTCCTCCCATCCTACATGGGGCATGTAGGCACGGTCTCCACTATGCCTAACTGGACCTCTGTGTTGGTCTGTGCCGCCCTCTGGGGGTGTAGGTGCTCATCTCCCATTTTGTGAGGTGCAGTTGACTGCCCTCTTGGGGCATCCACATCCTGCAGCCTTTGGGATCTGCTTGATCTTGGTTGCTGCTGCTGCCCCAGCATCACCTCCAACAGCTGCTCTCTCTCCCACCCTGTGGGATGCTGGTGTCCAGTCCAGCCTGGGTGCTGAGGGACAGCCCAAAGGCTCTCCTTCGAGAGGGGCACACTGCTGGAAAATGGGGCAATCAACCACTCTCTTTTCCAGCTCCATGTGTTGCCTGGAATATTTCCATCTCCTTCTCCTGCGCTTGAGCACAAAAGCTCACCTGAGTTCCCCGGACTTGGGTATGACAAGCTGGATGTGTGTTGGGCTTTTCAAAACCTTGAATACAGGGTGTCATGGTTTTTTGCTTCAGTGTTGTCTTTCTACCTGACCAAACCTGCTGATATGCGTTGCAACCTAGAGGCTGAGGGACAGCGCGAAGGTTCTCCTTGAGGAGGAGCACACCACCAGGAGATGACCTCTCTCTTCTCCAGCTTTTTCTTTAGCCTGGGATGACCTGCATGTGCTGGTAAAGACATGTTTTGACAGTCCTTCATGTGAGCTGCCTGCCCATCATCACGGTACCCACAACTGGCCCCTGGGAACAAAGCATCTGCTTCCTGTGGACTGTTGCTGGTCTGTGATCTTTGTGCCTGATGGAACTGCTCTTGATGGGTGTTGAGAAGAGGCAGGAAGAGCAGCTCAACCCTGTGTGGCTGCTGCTGGTTGAGAAAGGACAATGATCAGGGTTGGGATCGGGGAAAACAGTTGCCACCTTCTGGATTGCCCTGCTTCCCACTCCATATCCCCATACCCAGTCAGACACTGGGCTGTCAGCCTCATTAACTCCACCTGCTCCGTCTGGACAATCAATAAAAGCTTGTGTTTTGGAGTGGGCTACTGCTGCCCCCCTCAGCTCTTGCCTAGTCCCCTCATTGCCCTTGTGAGGTCCTGCTCCCCCTGAAGTGCTGAACTAACAGCACCTTCTTGAGGAGAGCCATGAGCAGGGCTGTTGTGGTCTGCAGCTGTGGCTGACAGCACCACCAGGCCTTCCAGGATATGTTGGGAAGATCTGACGCGTTTGAATGGGATATGTGTCCGGAACCAGAGAATGGTGGTGCCCCCATTCCACTCATTCTCCATATGAGCATGTTCGGTGCGTGTGCCCCAGGCAAAGCTGGGGAACAAGGTCTTTGTGCCTCTGCAGGGCCCCATGTCTGATCACCCAGCCCTGTGGAATCTGAGACACGCCAGGTGGATGGGAGGTTCTAGAGCAAGAGAAAAGAAGTGGCTGCTGAGGAGCAAGGGAGATGGCTTAGTAGCCCTGAGGGTTTCCTCAAGCACTCAGTTCTCACTGTAGGGCAGGGTAGTTTGCATTCTTGAGGACAGAGGAGAGTGCTGCCAGGCTGAGGGGCCGCAGGAGGAGGAGGTAGCTGTGGATGGAGAAGCAGGGAAGGATGACAGAGGGTGTCAGCTGAGTTTTTCTTTCAGAAGGCCCATAGACTGTTTCAGATGTTGAGGTACTTGCAGTTCATGTCCCCATTCTGATCCCTGCTTCTGGCTAGCTCTTTATGTGCTTTCTCAGAGGTCCCCCATCTCCTGTGATCATAGACGGGAAGTGACTCATCATCACTCTAAAACCCACACAGTGTCGTTGGAGGCACTTGGATATTGCCTAAGAAACAGTAACTGGGAAGGTTTTGGGGGGAACTCTGCGATCTTGGTAACAAGGTTTCTTCTGTTGAGTTCCAGAGCTTGGATGCTCCTAGGGTGTAAAAAGCAAAAGGCAGAAGTGCTGACAGTGATGGGAAGTTCCCTGCCCAAAGAGGAAGCCTCCTGCATCTCATGAGGAGCTGTGTCTGTTTCCTTCCTGCGGTTGCAAGCCTTGCAGTCAGCTACGGATGCCTGAGCTCAGAGGCAGCAAGTGGGGCTGAGATTTCGGTCCTGCCTGGGGACTTCACTCCAGGATGGCCCTGCAGTTACTGGCTATGAGGTTTCTTCTGGCCCTTGTATCTCTGTTGTCAGCACAGGTCCAGGGAGAACTTGATCCCAAGGTCCAAGGAGTGTCCCAGGGGACAGGTAAGAAGCAGTTCCTTCTCTTCCCTGGGGAGATTTTGTTGCCTTTCCTCCTGCAAGTTGGACATGCATCTTCACTGCCTGCAGCACTGGGCTGGAGTCCAGATGGACTGTGTCAGCTGGGGTGCCTGCTGTCTCTGGGAGACCTCAGGGCAGGAGCTACAATACACGGTGGGTTCACTGGGGATCTGTGGGAGAGACAGGTTTGGGCTGGATGGTAGGGGATGGATCATGTCCTGTGGCAAAACAGTTTGCCAGTCATTCCCTGGAGGCTGTGGACATGAATCATGCATGAATTCACATATCATGAACCCAGGAAAGGGTCTTCAGGGAGCAGGGGCATCATTTTCTGTACACATCATCTCCCCAGCTGTGCCTGGAGGACACTGTGCCTGCTGAGACCAGAGCAAGAGGGAACCTGCTGCCACTTTGTCACCTGGATGGGCCGGGCTGGGGTCAGTGGCTGGTGCCTGTGCATGGGGTGGGGCACGGCCCTGTGCCAGTGGGACAGAGCTGCTGGTTGTGCTGCTCAGACGGGCATCTCTGGCCTTCTGCCATCAGGCTTGTTTGAGAGCAAAGCCTGACCAGGAGTGGCTTGTCACCAGCATTCGCCTCTGGGGCTGTTCAGAAGATGCTTTGAACTTTCTGACATCCCTTGTGTGCCCCTCTGGGAGAAAGGAGATTGTATTTTAAGCACTTTCAGGCCTCACAGAGCCCCTTGCAGAGGCTCAAACAGGCAAGGGCTCCTTCCAAGGGCCAGCATTCTTGTCTGGAGGAATTGTTGCCACAAAGGCTCTCCCTGCAGTATTTGACAAATGGCTGGGAAAAGCTGTGCCTGCTCAACCTAAAGGATGGTGAATTTGGTGAGGAGAGGATGTGAAGGAAGAGGGCTTGTGGCAGGAAAAAGGGGTAGGAGCTGTGCTAAAGCAGGGGATGTGAATGGAGAAGGCCTTGCTCCTCCCCATGTCCCACTGCACAGTGGTGTGGGGCAGAAGGAGAGTAGCCAAAAGACTGACTGAGTCAGAACAGGGAGCCCAGAAGTGTGACAGGGGCATCTCTGATCCCTGTGGTAGGGATGAGCCATGACTGAAGAGACATGCATCCCAGCAGGACAGGTGGCACCATCAAGTGCAGCTTGAGCTGGGATGGGTGACATGCCTGAAGGAAATGTTGGAGGGAGTCTCCCAGTGCAGGGCTGATTGTCCTGGCAATCTCCTTCCTGTGGGCTATGGAGGAGGAAATAGAATGTCCCCAGACACGAGGCTGGATGGGGGAGGTTCATGAATGAGGGATCCTTCACATTTTACATGCACAAGGAAAGCCCCCTCCCAACATCCTAAGGTCGATGTGTCACCTTGCCTCTCCCTTCAGGGGCTGGAGGGACAGCTGGGCATTTATCTCCCACCACACACCCATACCCCAGCACCCCCCAGCCCAACTAACACCCACTTTCACCTCTGCCAGAAACGTGCCAAAGGCCCCCTTGGGCCTCCATCTTCCAGCTGGCACCAGACCAGGAGAGCTACAGGAAGAACGAAGAAGTGATGCTGAGCTGCCCCGAAGGTTTCCAGCCATCCTTCACCCATGTCAAATGTTCGAGTGAAGTCCAGTCCTTCATTGATGGGAAACCTGTCCACAGAGAGGTTTGGCTTGGAAGACATACCAGAGGTGCCTGGATTCGCATTCGCTCCAGCATGGAGTGCCTTGGTAAGGCAGGGATGAGGAGCTCTCCTGGCTGCCCCGCCCTGCCCTTCCTGAGCAGGGAAGGCAGCTGTGTGGGCACAGCAGGTTTCTGGCTCTCTGCTGCCTGGGGAAATGGCACGTGCTGCTGAAGGCAGTGTCAAGGCAGCCCCTGAGCCTGCCTTCAGTGCAGCCTGCAGTTACCCCTGGAGCTGTGGGCAATAAGGGAAGGGGCTTCCTGAGGACTTCTGGCCAAGAGCAAAGCATGGTAGAGTGAGGAGTGGTGGAATTTGTGGTCAGCATGGCATCCCAGTGGGGGCAGGACTTGGAGGGCTGTGCTGCCTGTGTCCTCTCAGACTGTGCAGCTGGGAGTACCACAGCTTGCTCCCTGTAGGCTGGTCCCCTGTAGGCTTTGTGACCTGGTGGCTGTAGGCTTGGCACCATGTCCTCACAGCTTGGGGTCTTCCTGTCCCCTCCAAAGGAGAACAGAATAGCACTTGTTGGACTTGCTGGGACACACAGACACCTCAGTTTGGAATCAAGGGGGGAAATTGCCTTGACCAGCAGTAGTTCACTCAGTCACTCCCATTCGTTCCTGTCCAAACTCCTCCTGCTGCCCTACTGGAGAGCTGGAGTGACCAGTTTCAGCCTCTTGCTTGCCCTCCCACCAGGCTGGGTGGTGACAGGGCTGTCTGACTGCAGAATCCTTGCAAGGCTGGCAGGGGCAGGAAATGCAGTGACTCTTTGTCAATCTTTCTTTCACAGAAGTGCTTCAGGTTGTCCCCGGCACCTTTGAGATCTCCAGCACCAGCATCAAACTGAACTGGACCTGCAGGTTCCCTGGTGCCTGCCAGGGCATGCGGGCCATGTGCCGCCTGGCAGTGCCTTCCTCCCCTCCCTGCCAGGCTGAGGAGGTGGAGGGAGAGGAGATGTTACATGGCCAGGAGGGAACATTCTCCTGCTCCCAGTTGCAGCCCTTCACTGACTACAGTGTCACCATCTTCTTGCACCCCAACATGACCCTTTTCTCATGGTTGTTCAGGACAGAGGAAACAGGTATGTGTACAGAAGTACTGGAGAGAAGGAACAGTCTGAGGCTGTGTCACGGGTAGGGGAAGTGGATAAATGTCCCCTTCATCTGTCAGCTCAGCCTGATCATCTGCTTCTTGCAGGGATCAAGGCTGTTTATATCCTGTGGGGCTCTGGGGAAGGGGCTCTGCAGAGCCCTGTAGCAGGGCACATCCCCTCCTTGCTGTCCCAGTCCACACCACACTGTTGCTCTTCCCACTGCTGCAGCCTTTGCAGGGGACAAACCCTTGATATGGGGTCCCCATATCCTGTCCCCTGGACAGGAGCTGCCTGCACCCTGCTCTGGGCTCAGCCCCTCCTCATGGGCCCTGCGTGTGACCCTGTTCTCCTGTGCTTCCAGTGCCAGACAAACCAGAGGAAGTGTGGTTGGATACCAGCAGAGGGTCCCTGAGGTGGAAGGAGCTGCCCTCCTGCAAAGGGGAGATCATTGGATACCAGGTACCAAGGGGTCACAGGCAGACCCTCATCTCATTGCCTGGAGTTCTGTGCAGGCAGATTGGGAAGGTGGGGAAGCAACCACTAGATTGAGCTGCAGGTCTCAGACAGTGCATATCTGGCTTTGAGAAGCACATTCTCAACATTCTTCATGCTCTTGAAATGTCCACAGAGGTGGTGGGTGCTCCCCAACCTCTGGTCTGACTTCCTGGGTCTGTTCTGCTTCGGGCTTGGCAGACCTTTGTGGTGTGACGTGTCTTCTGGGGTGGTATCCCAGGGTTTCCTGTGCCTCTTGCATGCTTGTTTCTGTTTCCTGCCACAAACAAACCTGTGGGTTGAGTAATCCTCTGAAAATCCCTCCTGAAAACCTCTCCTCCAGAGAGCTGCACTGTTCCTTTGAGTTCTCCTCAAGGCATGGCTAGAAGCATCTCATCTGTCTGCGGATTTAGGACACTTTCCACAGTGCAACCCTACTTTCTAACAGGGGGAGGGAGTTGCTGGTGAGATGCACCTCAGTGTGTCCCACGTCCTCTCTGAGGATGGGTATCTCCCTGGTTTGACAGGGACCTTGTAAGGTGTTTCTGAACTATTTCCTGGAGAAACAGTCAAAAAGGGCACTTGAAAATGTTGCTTGTGAGCCTGTTCTGCTGGTTCCCTGCTCCCAGACACCTTTGTTTGTGAAAAGAATATTTTTTCTGCTTTCAGTTGTCTCCTCTTTTGCATATGCCCAAGATGCATTTCCACAAAGGCAGCAAGTGAGAATGGGCATGGATCTCATGACAAATTCAGATGATGCATGGGCAAATGGGGAGCCTTCATCTGTATTACCTGGATGGAAGCTCTATGCCGTCTACTTTTCATGTAGACAAAACCTCCAGAGTCCAACCTTGCACAGGACGAAAGAGAAGCTCAGGGCTCTTCTTGTGGAGTATGTCAACACAGTGCCTGTGGTGTTGCAATACCATAGGGGTGACCTGGCCTTGGGCTCGGTACATGTATACACACCCCTTCAAATAAACAGCCTCCCTCTTCCTTCACAGAGACTTGATTCTTTGCTTATGGAGGCAGACACTTGGACATCCTGAGTGTTGGCTCCAAATTCCTCCTCTCCTCCTCTTCTCTGCTTTGAGGTCCACAGCTGGGGCAGGCTCAGAGAAGGGGAGGCTGCCAGAGGTGCTTTGCTCTGCCTTGGTGAGCTGTGGGCAGGTTGGAGCAGCTGCCCTGCAGCTCTGTCTCCTCTCCCCAGCTGAACATCACGGCCAGGAGCACACGGGATGGAGGCTTCCTGGAGATGGAGCGGCTGCAGGTGAACGGCTCCGTCACTGAGCACCGGCTGCCGGAGCACGGCCCTGGCAGCAGCTATGTGGTGTCGATTCAGGGACTGACGGCTGCCGGGGCCGGAGCTGCGTCGCTGTGGGAGTTTCAGAGCACAGGTAGGGCTCGCTGTGCCCCTGTCCGAGGAGCCTGGTCACACAGGAGCTGTGCTCTGCAGCCTGCACTGCCCGAGCCTGCCCCTGCTGAGCTGATGCTCATCTGCTCTTGCCCTCCAGACAACCAGCACCCTCTGGGCATCAGCTGCCGCAGCGTCCCTGACATCTCCCCATCCCAAGGGACGGCCGTGCTTCCCCTCCAACCCATCACCACGGAGGGGGTCGGGTGAGTGCAGCCCCTGCACTTCTGCCACCTCCACATGGGTCTCCCCTCTGGTAGTGCTTGCCTGCAATGCCCCTGCTCCACTCACTCTCCCTGCTGTCCCCCCGCCCCTCTCACTTTCCACCTTGCAGGGAGCACCAGCTGGTCGTGGCCATGACACACAACAGCTCAGGGATTGAAAGCGCCTGCTTGGGGCAGCCACAGCCCTTCAGTGCCAGCCAGCAGCCCTTCAACACCACCCAGCAGCCCTTCAACACCACCCAGCAGCCCTTCAACACCACCCAGCAGCCCAGAACCTACGTGGCCGCTGTGCTCAACCTCACCGCCCCCATGGACTTCGTTTTGGGCAACGGCACCTGGGGGCAGGGCTACCACAACGCTGCCCTGCGCCCCGGCTGGGACTACACGGCCCTTCTGCGCCTCGTCCGCCGCTCACCGCAGGTACCCAGTGTGGGGCCTCCTGGTGTCTGGGGACACTGCTGGCCAGGGCTGGGCCCCTGGGTGGGTCTGGTCTGGCTGTGATGGCAGGCTCCTCTCCCATGCCCTGGCAGGACAGTGTCCCTGGGGTCCTCTCTCACATGAGTGGGAGACCTTTGCTCCCAGGATGGATAGTGGGGCAGAAGTGGCTTCAACTCTCTCTCCTGTCTCCTCCAACAGTCAGAGAAGTTCACCTGTGTCTGCTACAGCTTCTCTATTGGTAAGTGTCTCTTTGCTTCTGGTGCCTGAGCTTCTCTCCCACATTTCCTTGGCTGGTCCCTGTGGAGAGGAGCTGGCCCAGTGCAGGAGCCTTTGGGTCTCATGCAGGACAGAGGACACTTTTTTTCCCTACACACGGGGCGATCCTCCATCACAGAAGAAATCTAAGACAAGACACACATCTACACCCTTTGCCAACACTGGGGCCATGGCCAGCATGAGGCCCAGACTGTGACACCCACTCCTGGCTGTGTGTTAGTTGCAGGGCAGGCTCCGGGCATGTGGCATTGGACTGTGATTGGGCTGGTTGTGCTGTTGGTACTCCTCCTCGTGACTGCAGTGATCCTGTGGCTCGTGCTTTCCAGGTGAGTAGGCAGGAGACAGGTTCAGCAGGGACATGGGCAATGCCAGCCTCTTACCCAGAACTCCTCTCTGCCTTTCCAGGAAAAAGAAGTATGTGCCCAACAAAGCTAAGGAGGATAACTAAAAAGGTAGGAAAACGCAATTTCACAGACAACCATCACAAAGGCGGCTACAGGGCTATGTGTTAGCTGGGGTGAGAGCAGAGATCTCCCAGGAGAACCTGAGCTTCAGGAGAATCATCTGCTCATACTCTGCACTGACATGTCTCCCCATTTGCTCTAGCTGAGGATGGTCAGGATGGTTCTGCCCACTAAGCCCCACATGACAGGCAGTGCTCCCAGCCTGGAGCACTCCCAGCCAGGAGTGAGCAAAGACAGGAATCCCAAAGAGTGGCTCATGGCTCAGTCCTTCAGGGGACCCATGTCTATGCCACCCCTCCCAGGGAAGAGATCTGCAGGGAATGGTCTCGGGAGGGTCAGGCTGAGAGACTGTTTCTCTCGCCAGGGCAGTGACAGGCACCTCAGAGGACCTAAGGTTGGGCAGAGCTGGGATGAAAGGGTTGGGCTGTGGCAGATATTGCCCTATGCTCCAGCCTGTCTCTGACATTGGATGCCCTTGTTCTCCACAGGTAAAGGTGGCTAGGCTAGAGATCAGTCACTCCAGCCGCTGGCCAGGTCCATGGAGACATTTAGAGCAGAGAAGGAGTGGAGAAAATGAGAAGGATGACCCCAGCTCGGTGCTGATGGCTGCTGTGTCCCCTTGGTCTCCTGTGACTGTGACAGCGTGGGAGTCCAATTCAATTCATCTAATTTAGCAGGGCAAGATGAAAACAGGAGACAAAAGAGGATTGTGAGCTTTTTCTTTCCTCAGCACCTTCACCTCCCAGCTTTTGCTTACTGCTTTTTTAAGGCCTTTGAATTTGACTTTCTGCAGTTCCTTTTTTCAGGTTTGCTTTCATTTTTGCTTTCCTGGAAGCAGGATTTGTATTTCAGATTTCCTAATCCCAGACTCACACAGGCTCAGGCTGATGGCATTCTCCTGCCATGCCCTGGGTTCCCAACTCTTCTCCTCCATCTCTGCTGATATTCAGCCAAACATAGGGATTTTCTGGAACTTGGCCTGACTGGACTGCTTTGTGACTCTGCCTGCTCTGTCTGAACAACCAATAAAGGCTTGTGTTTTGAAGGGGCTGCCTGTCCCACTACAGCTCCTGCCTGGTCCCCTCATTGCCCCTCTAGGGTCACATTTCCCTGCAGGGAGCTAACTGCACCTTGTTGAGGGGAGGGCTGCTGTGACCCCATATTCCCTAGTGGTGCTTGACAGCCTCCAGGGCTGTGCTGGACAGCTCTCACATGAGTTTACATCAGATGTCTGGTGGGAATCCATAAAGGATGATGTCCCTCAACACACATTTTGGGCAGGAGTGTGTTCTGTGCACATGCTGTGGCCAGAGCTGAGGGACCTGTGTGGTCTTAGTTTCTTTGAGGGCCTTGTGTTGGGTCAAACCTGGAAGAAAAGTGAAGACCAGAGGTTACCACCACCGTGGCTGTTACAGGGTCTTTACTGGTGAGACACAGGACAGAGAGCCACAGCCAGTCAGGACCTGGGGTCAGTCCTGGCTCTGAGGTCTCTTGCCCTTACACAGCAAAGGTAGAACCAGTCTCCATGATGCAGCAGCAGCCCCTGCTGGAATCACATCCAGGATATCCAAGTTAAGCCACTATAACCTGGGATTGTCATAGTGAAGTCAGACAGGCTGATGAAGGAGCCCCTCTGGAGCTGGCAGGGTTGTGGCACTTGGATCAGTAGCTGGAAAATGGATTTCCAGAAAGAGATTGTGTGGGTTGGAAGGACCTATTTAGCCCTACAGGACCATGGCTTGCCCCACCCTTGGCTCTTGTTGGCCTTGGACTTCATGCTTCTCCCAAAGTAGGACAGATAGCTTGTGCTCCTGAGCACCACAGATCTTACAGTAGTTTGGTGCTTTCCTGACAAAACACAGATGTTGGTGCTACCCCGCCTCCCCTGGGGTTGCCTGAAGGGACAAGAGAGCCTAGATGGGATAGCTGTTCTCTTCATCCCTAGGAAGGAAGAGTATGTCAAGTCCTGGTGCCCGTGCTCTGGCGTGAATACTCAGGCTATGATTTCAGATAAGATACTGCACAAATGCTGGGCAAAGGGTCAGCTTCCTACTTCAAAGCCTGACCACAATTTGGAGACAGTCCAGCCTGTGCTCTCCAGCCACAGAGGACCCTTGCTGTGGCTTTTCAGGGGAGTAAATCATCTTGGGGCTGTGCACATCCCTTTTGTTTCCTCTTGTTTTCATTGTTACTGACGAAGGTCTGCCAAGAGAGTCAAAGTCCTGTCCAGAGATGGACTGTGGTCACGTCTCTACTTGAAATTCCCATAGGTTTCAAATGAATTCAAGTAACTGAGGGCTAGTTCATAGCAGAGCCCATACTGCTCCTGTGGAAAGAGGGATGCACATGAGTGTCTGGTAGATCAACACCTGCAGTGGAATGTGAGCATTGGTTTCCAACAGCTTCCTGAGCATGCCAGGCACAGGTACAGCCTGCTCTCCTCCTCTCAGCTGGAGCCCACCTTCCCCTGCTGAGAAATCACAGGCACGTGCTCCAGTAGCTGGAGGGCTGGGATACCCCAGTGCTAGAGCCAACTGGCCTCAAGAGGAAAGCAAGCCTCCAGGGCACAAAGTGTCTGCTGATCAATCCCATCTGGGTTGCTCACCCTGTGATGACCTCTAGCACCCAGACCAGGTGGTGAAGTGGGTGCAGGACATGTACCTGAACACCCACCAGTGCAGCCTCCTGCTGAGCAGGCCAGGTGGACCAGAAAGGGGCCGCTCACCATGCAGGATGTTGTGGTGCCCATTTGGTCCTGTAAAACCTGCCCCTGAGTGAGTGGGTATGTCCCAGAGGCAGAAAATGAGGGTTTTCAGAGGTCTCGTCTGCTCCTGCTGGCCCCAGAATGACCTGAGCACAGAGGGGCCAGGGCAGCTGCTGGGTCAGTCCAGGATATGTTTGGGTTTGGTGTTGCAATCCCAGTTGGGTTTGAAGTGAGCACTTACCACATCTTTGATGAGCTGTCTCCGCCGCCTCTTCAGCGTCCTCACGGCCTGTGATACATCCACCATCCCCTCACTTTGGATCTGCTCACACAGGAAACTAGCAGCACAGAAGATCCCACTTCGGCTGGCTCCATCCCTGCAGAGGATAGAAAGGGGAGAGTCACTTGCTCTGGGATCGCCTGGCATGGCTGAACCTCAGAGGCATCCCACTAGACATCCAGGCTCTCAGGGTGATCTCGTCCACAGATCCTGCAGCCAGCCAGCCTCCACAGGGAAGTCTCCCTCTCTGAACATAGCTGAATTCATGTCCGTACATCCACCCAAGATGGAGCTGTGACCAAGTTCACTGACAGAGCCTGGGCTGTGTCCAGCTTTGTACCATGGCTGCTCCTTCAAGAGACATCACTCACCAGCAGGTGACAAGGATATGTCCACCTTGGCTCTGCCGATGGTGTGTCTCCACTTTCCCTAGCAAGCTGATGATGGTGGTAGGGTGCGGGGGAAGACGCTCCTGCATAGGCCAGTCCTTCAGTTGCCATAACTGGACTTCCAGTGCTGACTTTTTGGGCTAGTGGGGAAGAAAGACAGTGGGTTGGGCAGAAAAGAAACCTATTGTCTTCACGGAGTGAAGGGATGGACAGTGTGTGTCAGTACTGGCTCAGCCATGCACACTGGATCAAGGGAGCAGCTCCACAGTGGGACAGCCCAGTCCCAGACTTTGCCCTTCTCCACTGAGCGCTCTGAGACCAGCAAATAGACGGAGCATCAGAGGAGAGCTGAGCACACCAGGTGCAGCTCAGACTGGCACCAGTCCAGTGCCCAGCTACCTGCAACAGCTGTACCCTTCTATGAACCCCCAAGATGCAAGAACTCCATCCACAGCTGCTGCCCTCCAAGTTGGAAAGGCACACAAAGGTACCTCTGACTTGTACCTCTGCCTGCAGCCTTACCTTCTTGGGATTAACTTCTCTCCCAAGGCAAAAGACCCTGCTCTGGCCAGTGCCCTTCCAGGACCCCACCAGATCCCTCTGACCAATGTGGTCTCTGCCACCTCTAGCTGTGACTTTGGCCCCAAATTAAAAAGGTTGTTCTCAAAAGACTTTGCCATCTTTGAGCACAGACCCCACCTGCTGCCTGTTGGTGAGGGCAAGTGTCCAGGCTGTGAAGCCAGCTCCAGGCTCCTCTGAGACCAACTGGACATGGAAACGGCCATAGTCATCTTCGCCCTGGGTGGGCCAGAACTCCACGTATGTCTGGGGGGGGTGACACATGTGCATGATCACACATAGCCCCAACCTGCACGCGTGGCAGCGCTTGGCACCTCGCATGGGTGGGATCACACCACTCCCTTATCTCAGAGCCATGTACACGTGGCTCTGTCAAACATTTTCTGGGGACTAAGCCAGTGCTTCAGCCAGAAAAATCACACTCCAGCAGAGAGGACACCTGAGGGATGCTCCCTTGCTGTGAGACTGAGGACAGTCCACTACTGTGGTGCCGTGATGCTGGACTGTCTCAGGGCTCTCCCAGGTGGAGCCCACAAGCTTGCAGGGCTCTCATGGTAAGAGCTGTGCAGGGTCAAAGGCAGAAATACCCCTGCTCAGCCCCACAGGGAACCACGGGAGGGGAGAGCTGTGCTGGGGCTGCTCACCTTGTCCAGCTCCTGGAGTTGATTCAGCACAACCACTGATGTGCAGGTGTAATCCCAGACCAAAGCCCAGAAATCCACCAGCGTGGTGGAGAAAGGCAGCTGGGTGATGACGATTCTATCCTCCTCGGTGTATGTCTGCAAAACACGCCACAGTGCCTGGAGGTGGGGAAAGTCACACAATCCACCTTCCCGACAGCCCTTCCGACAGTGGGAACGCCGCACTGCCTCCCTGCAGAGATGGAGGAAACACAGTACACCCCAGCCCTGCTCAGAGCAGCTCAGGTTTGCCCCCCGCCGCCCCCCCGGGTCATCACACTCGGGCTCGGCTGTGTCCAGCGGCTGTGCGGCGGCTGCGGAGCTGCCCGCGCAGGCAGAGCTCAGCCGAGCGCGGGGGCCACCTCCTGGCGGCAGGGCCAGCAGTCACCGTGAAGGAGCCCGAGGGCTGGGACACCTCACACCGGGGTGACACGCTCTGGGGGGGGGGGGAGGTGTTTCTGCTGCTACCATCAGCTCTCGCCCCCCCCTCTCCCCCCGCTGGGACTGGACCTTACGCTGGCAAACACGGCGTTGATGTAACCTGGGGAGCCGTCTGCGTTCAGCGAAGACATCAGGATGGGCCGGCAGGAATCCGCTGAGGAGGCAAGGGACAGAGAGAGGGTCATCCTCTCCCTGCAGAGAGGCAGGGGGCTTTTTCTGCAAGTGATGTGGTCAACGTGGCTTCCTGTGGCATGGGCTGGAGGGGCTTGAATGAACAGGCACCACCAGCCTTGGGGCCCTGACAGCTCAAGGACCCCTGACATGAGATGTCCAAAATCTCCTGCACAGAGGCACAGCAGTTCCACTCTCCTCTTTGCTCCCTGATGCTTCATCTGAGCTACTCCACCGAGAAAGATTAGACCAGGGACATGTTTATCCCAGGTGTATCCGAGGTGTACCCCAGGTGTACCAGCCCAATCTGTATTTATTACTAACCAGAAAATGATGACTAGACCTTGAGCAGAATCTGCCAGTGGCATGGTGCTGGGGAGGGAAGCAGCAGGGGAACACCATTCAACCCATGCTGCTTTCAGGCACTGGGTTTTAGAGCAAGGGGCTGCCCAGCCCTGCCAGTGTTACCTGGCAGGATCCCTGGCTTGCGGTTCTTGGGCTGGTTGCTGGGTTTCTCTGCTTCTCTGCATGGCAGGAGCTGGAACAACTCAGAAAACTTCTGCAAGGCCTGTAGAGATGATTCAACCAAGTAAGTCATGCCGGCCAGCGCCTCCCCTTCTTCAGCCACCCCAGAGAAACACTCTCCCATGTCCATCCCACAGCTGGGGAGGGGAGCGGTGAGGGGGGTGGCATCACAGACCAGCCCTCACAGCACCAGTGCACCATATCCTGGTGGTACCTTGAACTCCTTGTCAAGGACACTG